CTATCGGCACACTGCTCGTAGTTGATAATAGAGACGACGATTATTGTGGAGGGGAACAACAACGATTACTATCATTATTCTTATACGAAGAGCTTGTTATACCACTTGGGTGGTCGACGGAAATAGTAGATTCATTATTATTATCATGATAAGACGTGTACGAGGCAGAGGGTACGTAGGACTGGTAGTGCGTGTATAGTCCAGAATCCAGTAGCAAGAGTGAAGCAAGTGAATGATGATGGTAAGGAGTAGTAGAGCAGAGTAGAAGTTAATGATGATGATGCATAGTGCTACTACGATGGATGAATGATTTAAAACGGGGAGGAGTCAACAGCAACAATGGTGACAGTAGTTCAGGTGGCGGCCCTCTTCCTCCTCCTTACACCGAAGAGAGGGAGTTCAATCACATGAAGGGGAAATCAATCATCAATCTTATTCAAGTAATATCATTGACGACGTGGAGAGGGTCAACTTTTCGATAGATCACACTTGTGGTGGTAGTATTGGAAGTATGGTGAGGCCAGCCCTTCCTCGCATGTGATGCGGTGATCTGGGCAAACTCTGAGGGCAAAGGGGATAACACCATGGAATAGACAACTCCTGTATGGTTATTGAAAGGCCATGGAAGATAATCATGGAAGGTGATATTAGGAATGATGACAAATGCGTGACAGTAGTAGTAACTGTACTAGTGTTGAGCCTTACTTCAACATCCTAGTAGCCAAGTCGATAGCTATTGGAGAGGTCCCTTCAGGTAGGATATCAGATAGGGGTACTACTCTCGATGCAAGCCGCATATAGGACCTAGATGGGATAATAATGATAGGCCGATACAATGGGCCTCTACTTCCATAATGGTAACCTCTCAACATCAGGCCAACCAGTGCTGCCATCTGGTGCACCGAGTATGGCAAATATCTTGCAGATCTGGTCCTCGGGTGAGGAGCCTAGAGGGAGTGAATCATCCTCACTTCAGCAGTAGAGTTATGAGGAGACCCTCACCTGCAACGAAGGGCTTCCCACGTAGCATCTCCATTATAATGCAGCCAATACTCCACACATCAAGAGAGTCACCATATGCTGTTGCCCCTAGGATAGCCTCTGGTGATCTATACCATAAGGTAACAACCTACAGGCCTAGCAGTGGACACCACAGAGAGGGGGTCTTTACATCAATGGCTAATGGACCAGTGGGGATACCCACTTCCCTAGCCAGACCGAAATCAGCTATCTTTATGGCCGTACAGTCCTCATTGAGTAGTATGTTATGGGGCTTTAGGTCTCTATGGAGTATCTATACCGATATTAATAGGAGTATGTTACAATAGTATATTGCTGCCTTATGGCATAATGTGCAGTGATGATGGTATGAATACGTAATGTACGTCATTGTATGAGCATAGTCCCAGACTATCCCTAATAGGTTACTAATCTAATACGTAAGGATGATGATATGATCAGGAAAACATCCGAAATTGTGAGTATATTCTTGGTTCAAGCAAGGATCACAGTTGGGCCTAGAACTGATGATGATGTTAGGACCTTG